CGTGATGTCTGCTATGGACAAGATTTTTTACACGCTTATTCTCTTTAAGCGTGATGTCTGCTATAGAGAAGATTTTTTACACGCTTATTCTCTTTAAGCATGATATCTGCTATGGACAAGATTTTTTACACGCTTATTCTCTTTAAGCGTGATATCTGCTATGGACAAGATTTTTTACACGCTTATTCTCTTTAAGCGTGATGTCTGCTATGGACAAGATTCTAATAATCTAATATTTAACATGTTTAACCTGCCCACGAGGGGACCAGCAATTTCATTGTCATTCACGACATGTAGCCTTAAAGTACTGCGTTTTTTTTTAGCAATATTAGCATATAATTTATCTGTTGACATAAGAGACAAATACTTTTCTTCAATCATCATGTTTAAACATGTTTCTCCTCTTGCCCTTAATCCTGATTTTAAAACGCACGTGGCATTAATGAAAGCCGACGATAATCTATTTCGATTTTTTGTTTTTAAATTACTTAAGAGGAAAACATTCTCTTTGGGTCGGCATTTGAATTTGAAAGTGATCGAACAGCATTCAGAACATTTGTTAAATTTGGATACTTAGTAATATTACTTGGATGGTTTGGATGTAAATTTCCTTCCACATATTTCGTGATTATCAAAATTTAATTTGGAAAGATTTTGCTTCTCTTCCATTGTAAAATTTAATGGCAATGCAATCCATTCTTTCTTTAAAGCATCTTCATCAACACTACCGATAGTTTTAGCTATAAAAGAAACATCATTAAATGAAGTTTCTCTATCAGTATTGAATAAGCTTACAAAAGGTCAAACTTGTAATTTTAATAAAAATTTATTATTTATCGGTAATCTTTTACGAATTTCTTCTGCAGCAGTTATATAAAACATCAAGCAATTTGTTCGAACAGTTGTAACTGCATCTTCGTATCCTTGCATCAGTAATTCGTAAGATATTCTTCGCATTCTGTATCTAAATTAATTTTATGAAGAATTTTGTGATTCTCTGATAAAGAGAAAACTGTGTTTACAGAAAAAGGTTTTAAATATTCATCTTTTAAAAAGTTTCAGCAAATTTGAAAAAGAAACTGTAAAGATTTTAGCTGCAATAAATGAATTCGTGTTTCTGATGCTTGAAAAAATGCATTGAATGCGTTAAAGAAATTTAAAACGTATTTTAAAAAAAGAAATAGGCTTTTGTTTCAATATTACCCATTATAGACGACAGATGTTCTCCACGTTGTGTTTTTTCACTTACAACTATTTCGTTCAAAAAATATTTAATTGTTTCCCAAGATTCCAGAAGTCTTTCTACACATAAGTAATGAGAAAGCCAGCGTGTATCACATAATTTTAACAATTTGTGATTTGTTTCTTGGAAACACTCAGAAAATTCATTGTAAACAGATAATCGTTTGGGGCTATTGTTAATAAAACTAGAAGTTTTTCGTAAAAATTCTTCGCAAAATTCTGGTATTTTACATACAGCATGCGTTATTACTGCGGCGGAATGGCAAGGACATGTAAATGTTAATAAATGTGGACATACTTCTTCTAATTTTTTTTAAATGATGAAAATTTTCCTATCATGACAGATGCATTGTCGCATGATAGAGCTATAATATTTAAAAATAGTATTTTCATTTTCCACATTTCACATTTAAATGCTTGAAACAATTTTTCGGCTTTGGCATCAATATTAATTAATTTAATTAATTGTGAATGAACATCTAATATCTCCGGGTCAACGTATCGTACCATAAAAATCATCCATTTAGTATTACAAATATCAAACGTTTCGTCAATAAATATTGAAAATTTTGTGTTCTGAATTTTGTTAACGACATGTTCCGTTTCAATTGGGCATAAAACGTTTGTAATAATATTTTTACATTTTGTACGACCCATGCTCATGCTTTTTAATATATTAGGATCTTTTCCTATATGTTGAAAAAAATTAAGAATCTTTTTTGCAGTTTGATGAGAAATATTTTTATCGACAATTAATGCGGCATATCTAATTTCTGCTAACTTTTTACGCTCATCAAACGACAAAAGTGATTCATTATCTTCCGTTTGCAAATTTTGATTTGATTTATTTATCTCAAGGAAACTTTTATATTTATCTA